AAATAAATAAACAAAATTTAATTATTGGCGACGCCGGTGAGCGGCGTCGTCTATTATGGAATGCTTTATATTTTGGCCTATGGAAGGAGCTGTTATTATTAGCAGTTAATGTCATGTTGTGTTAATTAGTCTTATTTTGATTCGTAAAAATCAAGTAAACAAATATGTTGTTATATTTGTGTTTAATAACTTTATGTAAAAAGCATGTGCATTGTGATATTATTTTCACGAAATTGCAGGCCAAGTTTAACAGCTTGTCCCTCAGCTTTATTGGCAATACTAAAACCCGGAATATCGTTGTGGTCTACATTGTTCATTCATTCATTTATATATTTTCAAAATTTTCCTACAAGAAGAACGTTCACCTGCAAATGTATAGGATTATTGTTATATGTGGAATGCAGTGCTTGTCTTATATATTATCATATATGATCAAAAACAAAGTCAAGTATATTTATATTTTAAGTATATTTGAAATATCTTGTCATTTTTACTTAAAGTGAATTGGTCTGTTATAGAAGGTATGTTATATAATAATAATTATGTTGATAGTATTTAGTTAAAGTATTAGACTTAAGGCCAAACTTCGAAAGAGTTACATATGACTTTTGTTGGCAAGTGTCAGAATCATGATCGAGTATTACATGTATTCATACATCAGTTAATAATTTGTTCTAGATTACAATATTATTATTCACTATATTACATTTTTGTATTAAATCACATAGTACTTTATTAATGTTGTTTAGCCATATTTTATATGAATATCCAAATGATACATTTTATTGCCTTTTATCAATTATTTGAAATACTTCTGAAAAAAATGTGCCTCTTATAGACCAATCAACTTTAATGTGGTTGTAAGGAACCTTTATATTTGGTCACCATCAACTCGTCTTTATAGAAATTTTAAAAAAGTACCAAAAAATGTACTTATACTTGAAATGAGAATAACAAAACCTGGCTAATGTCAGTTCTGATCATTACAATAACTATAACTTCTTTGTCCGCAACAAACTTACAACACGATTGAAGATTAAATGTAACAGAAAGTGTTTCAACAAAGTTTAAATGGGAGCATGTGGGATAACTCAAAGTACCAGGACTTTGCGCTGAACTTCTTAAACAACTGATTATTATCAAATCTTAGTTAAGACTATCTTTGGCACCATACTTCATAATTATAATGTTCATAGTTCATGTAATATTTTTGGGGTAAAAACAATATGGAAAAATATCATTAGGATGTAATTACGGCGGTTCATTAGGTTCTACTGTCCCCATCGTTCTGTCAAAACTTCGCGCATTTCGTTCTCAGAGAAAACGCACTTGCCCTGACAGAACACCGTTTAAGAATCAACAAATCCTTATTGATACAAACTCCGCCGTAAATTGATTTTCATATCACGAAAACAGATAATACTCCCGCCTTGCTCATGATGGTAACGCCTAATACCAACAGCTTAACGAATAAGCCGCTCAGCAGTGATCGTGTTACTATCAACGCGAGCTTGTTATTAGATGATTACGTAATCAGAGAACAGGCACATTTCAATAATCATAGGCACAATTCATTTCTGATAATAGTTTACAGATATTTTAAATTATCATATACCTACTTTGACATTTTTTGCTATATATTTAATGAATGTATCCAATACACAAATTTATACAACCCAACAGGAAGATAATCCTCACTTTGATCTGTCTAAATATCGTAACGTCATGCTTGAAATTATGGTTCGAGAAAAAATATTATTTTGAGAATACCATGATCTATTTAATAATATTTGACTTTGATCATGACCTTGCTAAATCCATGCGAGTCAAATACAAGAAACAGATTCAGATATAAAAACCATACTTTTATCAGATCAAACATTTGCACATCTAGAATGGTTTTAATAAATCGCAATAGCCCATGTATTACAAGGTAGTCAAAGGTAAATAGATATGTGATATGTGCCAATTAGTCACGTGGCCAGGTCATTGTGACTTTCCCTATTGACCAGGTGACCCCTAATTCAGTAGGGGTTATCTGCTGGTCATGACTAGGTCATTGTGACCTTAAAGGCTGTGTGTGGCGATTTTATAATTAGCACTTATTATATATATACAGGAAATTTACTGTGAACACTGTATGCCTTCCTTATGACAGATAATTAGTTATACGACATTTGACTAAAAAATGTCAAAAGGGCTCATCTACTGCCTAAGATCAAGGCTTCTGTAAAGTTTGAGGTCCAAGGGCCTATGTGTGTTGGGTTATTGGTTTGAAACCGTTTTGGCATACTAAGACCTTTACCATTACATGGTCAATGTGACCCTGACCTTTAACACAGCAACACAAAATCAATAAAGGTCTTTTACTGGCCAAGACCAATGTATCTGTGAAGTTTAAGGGCCCATGGGTTGTCGAGTTCTTGGTCGGAAACCATTTTGACATACAAGGTCGATGGAATTTACCGGCCTAGACTCATGCACCTGTGAAGTTTGAGGACAAAGTGCCCATGAGTTTTCGAGTTATTTGTCGGAAACCGTATTGACATAAAAGCCAATATAACATTGATCTTTGACCTTGTGACCCAAAAACAAAAGTGTTCATCCGTTGGTCATGACTAATCTAAATATCAAGTTGAAGTTCCAAGGCCGAGGTGTTCCTTAGTTATAGGTAGTAAACGGTTTGGTCTACGGACAGACCGACCGACATGTGAAAAGCATTATACCCTCATTCCTTCGATGAGAGCATAATTAATAAAATAAATAGAAAAGAGGGAGGATGAACAAGCAAACAAAAATAAAACACAAAAGAAACTAGCGCATTATTAAGTTGAAATATTTTGCAAAAGATATATTTTGACATTTTTAAAATTTGTATGATAAAAACAGTTATTGTTTAAGTTTGAAATTAGCGATATAATATTGTTTCGACACGTTTTTCATGCTTTGTTTTTTATTTTTAATCATCGGAAATTTATCGACACTTACAAATTTAACATGGCCTTATTACATGCAAACGTATAGACGTTGAAAATAGCATTCATAAATTTCAGTAGTGATCATTATGAGCAAAGAGAGACAACCGCTATAGAATATACGTATATATCTAGTTGCTGTATTATCCCCACTTTAATTACAACACGTTAACGCTAACTATAACCCTTCGATAAATTAATAATTTTTACGATTTGCCTAAAGTAATTTACATGTACTACATGTATATATATTTAATTCATTGATTTAAAAGAAATAGATCGTTTTTATGAATATGACCTATTTTTACGTTTATGAATAATTTTATGTATACAAAAAATATATACATAAACAATTCTCATTTTCATAGTTATATCTAAAACAAGCTCAGTGTGTAAGATGTGCAATCGTCACGTCTCCTAGCAACGGCTCAAAATGTATTAAAATGTCAAAATAATGATTAGAAATGATTATTCATTTCCCTTCTTACTAACTTAACTACTGACATATTCGTCTTTGTATGCTTCTTTCTTATCTCACTCACTCACTCACTCACTCACTCACTCACTCACTCACTCACTCACTCACTCACTCACTCACTCACTCACTCACTCACTCACTCACTCACTCACTCACTCACTCACTCACTCACTCACTCACTCACACACACACTCACTCACTCACTCACTCACTCACTCACTCACTCACTCACCAACTGATCACTCATCAACTCACTCATCAACTCACTCACCAACTCACTCACTCACTCACTCACCATCTCACTCACTCACCAACTCACCCACTCACTCATTCACACACACACACACTCACTCACTCACTCATCAACTCACTCATCAACTCACTCACTCACTCACCACTCACTCACTCACCATCTCACTCACTCACCAACTCACTCACTCACTCACTCACTCAATCCCCAACTCATTCATCAACTCACTCACTCACTCACTCATCAACTCACTCATCAACTCACTCATCAACTCACTCATCAACTCACTCACCAACTCACTCACCAACTCACTCGCCAACTCACTCATCAACTCACTCACTTACTCACCAACTCACTCACTCACTCACCAACTCACTCATCAACTCACTCATCAACTCACTCACGCACCAACTCACTCACCAACTTACTCACCAACTCACTCACTCACTCACCAACTCACTCACCAACTCACTCACCAACTCACTCGCCAACTCACTCATCAACTCACTCACTTACTCACCAACTCACGCACCAACTCACTCACCAACTTACTCACCAACTCACTCACTCACTCACCAACTCACTCACCAACTCACTCACCAACTCACTCGCCAACTCACTCATCAACTCACTCACTTACTCACCAACTCACCAACTCACTCACCAACTCACTCATCAACTCACTCATCAACTCACTCACGCACCAACTCACTCACCAACTCACTCACTCACCAACTCACTCACTCACTCACTCACCAACTCACTCATAAACTCACTCACTCACCAACTCACTCACCAACTCACTCACTCACTCACTCACTCACTCACTCACTCACTCACTCACCTTATTCCTTTCCAAATTCTTTACTGACTCAAACACTTACTCACTTCTCAATTCACTCACTTCGTTTGACATAAATAGCGAGAATTCTTGAAGGGTCATTATATTCAAGAAAGACTGTTATTTTTATTTGCTTAATGCTTTATATATTTGGTGTGTGTTTAAAGTTTCGAGAAATTTACTCCATGGCCGATTACCTGACTTAAATTTTGCTTCTGGTGCATTCTGGAAATAAGTACAGTTATAGTGAATCATGGTGATTTAGTGCTCATATTTTGTATGGAAGTCCAAATACTACATTGTTTACATTTTGCTTCTTTCATGACAAAAATTTCACAATCAGCGCTACTTTCGTCAGATAATACGCATCGAACATGCTCTTAAACCATATCTAAACATTATAAAAAGTGCCCTTTCTAAAGGAGAAGAAAGTAATTTAATTTATTAATGTCTGAGGCATAATGTGCCTTTAACATTTTCAGTGTATGAAAAAGTAATTAATTTTCTCATTTTTTTCTTTATTAATTTTATAGGACTAACTTAATGTAACTTACGGGTCAATAAAGTACGAACGAAATACGTGATTAACAGTTAGCTGGAAGGTATAGTGTCCCAATTATTTATGCTATAACATTTTATTGAAAAACACTTTTAAAAACTTAGTTTTCATGAAAATAAGTCTGTAGTGTTTGAAGGCATAGGAGTAAATATCAACTAGACAATTATGAAGAATATGTGAGTATAGCTTAAATTTTTTCTTTCTACACAACATGACAATATGGAAATGTGCTCCTTAATAACACCGATGGGACCGTCAAAATTTTGTATTGTTTCTTAAAATATGAATATATTTTACGTGATAATTCTAAATCCGGATTGTTTTGAATATTTGCTTGTTACGATCCGTAAATGTTATGGACTGTACTCGTACATAATTGTTGTTTATTAAAAATCACATAACACTACTTTTAACGTTATTATGAAAATAAGTTATTTATTAGTATATGATACAAAATACATAATCCCAAATTATATAAATCAAAAAACAAAAAAGATGTATTTTGCTTTTTTCCCCCAAACATCACTGTGTTGAAATAATGATTATTTTCAGGCTTTGTGCTACAATGTCGGCGCATGTAGAAATGATGGATATTTTAATTGTATTATTGAACTGAATTGCATGTATGGAAGAGGAACGTATGATCAATTTCTAATTATAAATAATCTAGTCTGTTCTGTTCTATTTTCAGGATGAGAAGTCTATGGATTGTTCTATTGGTATCCATAATGGCCTCGTGTGTTTCGACATTTGAGAATATGTGGTAAGTGATGCATACTTGTTAATGTCTTTGATATGTTTTTATTTGTTTGATACATTTTGTTTTAATTCATGTTGTTGTTGTTTTTATTTCGCATACTTAAAAAATACATTCCTCCAGACGATGAGCGGTAATATATTAAGACAAATTGAAAAAAAAAAATGTTCTTAGATTTTCAATAAACACATTTTCAAAATTTTCATGAAAATATGCATGGACCTTGAGGCATGCTGCTTAAATCTTTCTAGTCATCCTGGGAACTTACCTATAAATCATGTATCAATTAACTTTTCAGTCACTTAAAACAATTTCTTATTTGTTGGCGTCCGCGCATTGGCGTCCGCGCCGAAGCGCGGCGCCTTATGGAATGAAATGAGATTTTGTGAAAGGGCGACAGCAACTTCTCGAGCCTTTTATTCGGTCATAATAAAAGCCGATCATTCCGATCGGTATGAGGGTGCTTGATTATTATAAAGTTGCGATATGTACAATGAATAGCGAACTGGAGAATTTCGCAATGCAAACATTTTCAAATGAAATAACCTTTTCCGTCTCTTCGGTTTTTTTTTATTTACACAGTGGGTTATTATGGTATGGTAAAATACAATAATGAGTTGATGATCTAAAAATTTATTGATTATACATAAACATACAATTCGAAAAAAAAACCAACAACAACAATAATAGCATGTTTATTTTATCTATATGTAATAAAAACAATAAATAATGTACAATAATTGAGAAAAAAGGTACATTTTTATGGTATTAATATGACACTATCAACTTTGAAACATTTTCTTTAATTTGTTACTCGTGTTTAGTAAAGATGCCGAGGAATTATTCAAAGTTACAAATTAGATTTTATGAATTATTCAATCGATTGATAATTTAAAAAACGATAAAGAAAAATACCAATGTGCCTGTACATGGTTTAAGAATAAACAATATTATATCTTGAAACATTAACCATAATTTACTGACTTTTTCAAGTTAAGTTTTGACTTATAAATAATCGTCGGTCAATATGACAATTGAATTCTTAAAATTTATTTTACAATTTTAATAAAAAAGAGTAGTAAACATAAAAAACTCAGTATTAAAATAGCACATAAAACACAAAAAGAGAGGGAAACAATATTCATAAAATCTGTATTTTTATATTAAAATAGATATTACAATTATTGTATAATAAACAATTATGCTCAACATGATCAACATGGTAATATAACCAGTATCATACTTTTACTAAGTGTGAACAGATACCTTAATTAAGAGGGGGTCTTCGCTAATAGCGATAACATAATAAGGGACAATTCCACAAGTGTCATGTTGATCATGAGTTACACATATGGATTATAAATGATTGTATACATGTATATCCGTTGTTATTAATAATCACGATCATAAAGAAATAACAAGTAATATTCTAATCTCTAGCATGCCAATCAAAGTTCATAATGAACAATGTCTATCGTCTGTTCATTCTGGTAAAAACCAATTAACCATTGAAAAGTTTATAAGAATTTCTTGTCATCATATGTCTACTAGTTCATCTTCACTTTCTACATTTCTTGCTTGGACGCCCTTTGATGCTTTGCATCAATGCTTTTCTTGTTTGAAAATGTTGCAAACCACAGATTATTATTTGAATGCCTCATTACCAACTTGGTATTTTACTCACAATTTCTTGTATAACACTTGTCCTATGTTTTGGTGTTTGATTCAATTAAAACTAGTTCATTTGATTAAAAGTTATTTAAAAGTTTTACATAATCTCCTTGTCTGCTTTTTTGTCTTTTTGTTTTTAACTTACTGAAAAACAGCCGCGAATGAAAAAAAGAAATTATTGATTTTGTAGTTGAAATAAAATAATCGTCATTGCTGGAAAATATCAAAATTGACCGTTGTCGCTTAAAACTGATGTGGATTTATACACTGAAAAGTTATAAAAACAATATATCAAAGTGACATTACGTCAATCTAAAGGGCATATAGTTAATAAACAGGTGAAAGTCAAAATAGGTTTACATTTTGTCATAATTGCTTTCAATTTTATAATTTACTTCGCATGAATGATAAATAATTAACAAGACCTAATGAATTTTCTGTAAATATTCATAGGATATTGCATGTAACATTCAATTCATAAAAAGAGTGGGGCAGTCTTTTTTATATTTTAGACATATTAATATTATATTCTATACTTTTTCCAGTATCAACTGTTGTTTCAATCACCATTAAATATGTCACTCTTTTGAAGTATATAGTCAATTCAGTTAAACTTTACAGCGACCTGATAGTTATGATTAAGACTGTCGTGCTTTTGCGGCGTTTATTTCATAATTTCTTTATTACCCCGTTAAGTTCAATGCATCGCTTGTGTCAGTGAAATCTATAGTTTCTGCATATCCTTTGACCATTCCTGGTCATACTTGGAAACCGGTTATAATTGTCGTAATCTGCATCGAAGTTATAAAACTTTTTCTGAGTTTTGCCTCAAACCTCAAAACCTGTGAATTTTTAATTGTTTAAACATTAAGAAAACCTAAATTATCTCTAAAAAAACGGAAAAAAAACAATAAAAACCTTGTGAAAATTCATACGAACGAGATCTAAATCAATTTCAAAATGGCCATTTGTTTAGATTTTTCTAAAAAGTATTTTACTACTAACGTCAGAAAATCAATTTTGTCTTCCTTAGGCGATTTATCAATTATTGTTTTTGTAATATCCTACGGCAAATTTGCAAAACAAATTAATAAGTCAACATATTATATCATTAACAATAGACAACTGTACTATAACAACAAAAATGTTATTAACCATTTTACATTTATTTTTCAGCTATACGTATGGTTTAACCTTAAGATATAAAATTCATAAACTTGAAAATGTTTTAATTGTGAAATCTGTTCGGAACAAACGTCTAGCTTTGAGAAAACTGCAACTCATGGTCTCAATCTTGTTTTTAGTTATCTTGATTTCAGACTCATTAGTTCCAATTATGATATACGCTGCTCTAGTTGGTGCTAGTTTAAGCGCGTCCGATCCAAAGCATTTGCCATGAATTCTATTGTACTATAAATAAACTCAATGCTAACGGGTCAACACTTTCCACGAATCATTTCGTTGTTTTCACCGTTTTCGAGGGATCTCCTTTTTAGAATTTATCAACAGACAGTTTTATGGTCTAAAAAAAGAATAAGCTTGCTACAATGTGTGTTAATGCCAGTACGAAAACAATAGTGCAGATATTGGATAGATATGGGTTTCTATATTAAAAGAAAATTTTGATTGGTTGAGAGGCAGTTTCAAAAATATTCGAATTGAAACATAAAAACTTCAGAGCTTTTTCAAAAACCTTATTTACTATAACTAATTATGATTTATTTTATCGCATTCATTTCATAATGTGAATGTTTGAATAATAGTAAATTAGATGTAAATTACATAAGGTGTATAAAATGGTTTATATTAGAATTGTCATCCATTGTTTGAGTTCGCATCTCTGTTATTGTTTACAATTTTATTCAGCAAGAATGTAGATAAGAATTGTGATAATAAAAAGATCATTAAGATGAAAAATTATAATGGCTTTTTTGTTTTGCATTGGATGACCATGTTGGCCATCAGCCGCAATACTTTTACAATAGTTCACTTATAAATAAATACTAAAATGGAGCAGTTAGGATTATTTTGATTATTTTCAATTCTAAACTGTCTATGTATTGCAGAGAAATATTGTTTATAATAACCTTTTTATTCCATAATTCAGGCTGCGACAACTGAACGAGGGACCATACAATGGAGAGTTTGGTTATGACGAGCCGTGCATTGAATGTTGCGAAACACGTGATCAAGGTTCTGTGGTTGTTTTAGCTGAGTAAGTTTGAATTAGAAACTTAATATTACATAGGACCAAAAATATGTCCGGCATGTACCGTAATTACGGCGTTTATCGACCGGTCGATTTCAATCGGACACGATTGGCATAGTAACTGATAAGAATGCGCTAGTTGCCTGTCCTCCAAGAAAACGATAACATTGTACATGTAGTTAGTCACCGGGTCTATTAGGTGTCTGTTTGATAATCGTGATTATCTTTTATATTATCTTATATTTATACCCCCAAAAACGAAGTTTGGGGGGGTATATAGGAGTCACCCGGTGGTCGGTCGGTCGGTCGGTTGGTCGGTCGGTCGGTCGGTCGGTCCAGACGTCCGTTGCATTTTCCTTGTCCGGAGCATAACTTGAAAACTAATGGTTGGAATTCAATGTAACTACATACAATGGTCAAGTACATTGAGAGGAAGTGCAGTGCACAAGAACCATAACTCTATCTTGACTAATTACAGTTATTGCCCTTTGTTACTTTTCCTTGTCCGGGGCATAACTTGAAAACTACTGGTTAGAATTCAAAACAACTTCATACAATTGTCAAACACAATAAGGGAAGTGCAGTGCACAAGAACCATAACTCTATCTAAAGTAATTACAGAGTTATTGCCCTTTGTTGCTTTTCCATTGCTTTTTTTTTGTCCGTTGCATTTTCCTTGTCCGGAGCATAACTTGAAGACTAATGGTTGGATTTCAATATAACTACATACAATGGTCAAGCACATTGAGAGGAAGTGCAGTGCGTAAGAAACAACATAACTCTATCTTGACTAATTACAGAGTTATTGCCCTTTGTTACTTTTCCTTGTCCGTGGCATAACTTGAAAACTACTGGTTGGAATTCAAAACAACTTCATACAATTGTCAAACACAATAAGGGGAAGTGCAGTGCACAAGAACCATAACTCTATCTTAAGTAATTACAGAGTTATTGCCCTTTGTTGCTTTTCAATTGCCTTCTTTTTTTTGTCCGGAGCATAACTTGAAGACTAATGGTTGGAATTCAATATAACTACATACAATGGTCAAGCACATTGAGAGGAAGTGCAGTGCATAAGAACCATAGCTCCATCTTGACTAATTACAGAGTTATTGCCCTTTGTTACTTTTCCATTGCTTTCTTTTGTCCGGACCATAACTTGAAGACTTATTGTTGGAATTCATTATAACTTCATACAATGGTCAAACACATTGAGAGGAAGTGCAGTGCATAAGAACCATAACTCCATCTTGACTAATTACAGAGTTACTGCCCTTTGTTACTTTTCCTTGTTCAGAGCATGACTTGAAAACTACTAGTTGGAATTCAAAACAACTTCATACAATGGTCAAGCACAATAAGGGGAAGTGCAGTGCACAAGAACCATAACTCTATCTTGACTAATTACAGAGTTATTGCCCTTTGTTACTTTTCCTTGTCCAGAGCATAACTTGAAAACTACTGTTTGGAATTCAGTACAACTTCATACAGTTGTCAAGGACATTCAAAGGAAGTGCAGTGCACAAGAGCCATAACTCCATTTTGACAAAATACAGAGTTACTGCCCTTTGATACTTTTCCTTGTCCGGAGCATAACTTAAAACTACTGGTTGGAATTCAAAACAACTTCACACAATGGTCAAGCACAATAAGAGGAAGTGCAGTGCACAAGAACTATAACTCTATCTTCAGTATTTATAGAGTTATTGCCCTTTGTTCTTTTTCTTTGTCTTTCTGGACTTATTACAGAGTAATTCAATTAAACTTCATCAATGGCCAACCACATTGAAAGGAAATGCAACATACATGAACCACAATTATCTTTAATTGCCCACAACCATAACTCTATGTTTCAATTTTTTTACAAGGTATTCTGTTACTAGTAACATCCTCATTTCCGAAGCAGACTTGTGGGGGTATTAATCACATTTAGTGATAGTTCTAGTTTGGTTTACTTTAGTAATTGCAAAAAAAAAAATCCTGTTGTAATATTCTTACAATAAGAAATAATGCGTGACTTTTAAAAAAACTTTCTGGAAATTAGACTTTGACTCGTATTTAGTATGTTATTTAAGCTCTTATTTTAATACATTTGTACGTTCTGACGATATCAATAATGGAGATAACGTCAATGTGTGTAAGCAGGGGAGATAAGTCTACATTGAAGAGTTGTTCCCCCTTATGTAATTCCCGCATGAAAGTTAGGTTTTATGTCGTTTAACATATGTTTTATATATGTTATTCATGTTTATGAAAGAAAGTTTATGACTACAAGAGTTCATTATATAGTAACAGAGGCAAAAACTTTAGATATTAGGTCTGATAATACAGGCATTGTTAATACATTCGTGTATTAATTACTTAAATTTATTCACCGTGTATTGTTGGTTAATTTATAAATGAATGAACTTACTTTACTATTTTTTTTATATTTATCATATTTGTATAATCTAAACCGTTGATCTGCTTGAACAAAAATGATTAGTCTCATCCGCGCAGTCTGACAACGGTTTACACTTCTGGCTGACTTACTTTAAATTTTCAACTTGATTACCCCAAATCTGATAATGGAAAGTCCCAAAATATAAAGCTGGACAAGTCCATGTAAGAAATTCAGTTGGTTAAAAGTACATTGTTACTGATTATACTCATACCTAAAAGAAATTTCTTGTCTAATAACGTTAACATGTACATTATTTGATATTTAGAGTTGTTACAGATCATGAAGAAATGTATATAGTTGTAGAAACGGTTATTTATTAAAATAAACGTTCTTACATTGTTATATGACCTATAGATATTTTTTCTTACGAATTTACAATGCTGCAGAACTGCGGTTTTGATTTTGTTTTTAAAGAAGACAATTTTCCAGAAATTTGCATAAATTCTGCTGGCTATATGAACAGTACGGGAATAGCTTTACAACTATCAGAATTTTAATAAACATGTATATGAACGAATATGTGAGCCGCAAATCATTAACCTAATAAAAATTGACATTACAAACGAGTAGTATAATTAGTCAGACATGGACAGCCTTATCATATTTACATGTACAACTTAACATATTGCCACTGGCTTTCACATCTCTTTTTCCGACTTTGGAGAGTTTTCAATATAAAACAGTTATGTTATTATTGTAATCCAAATAAATTTAATTTTTATTTTTCAATTGAATTACATTTTTGTCAGATACATGAAGTTTCTAATTACATTTCAGTATCCTAGAAGATTGTAGATTTTCTACTTCAACTATATTTCCATCATCAACAATGGGCATTTCGTCATCCTCAGTAAGTTTATTTTCCCTTTCAAATGTAGGTAGAAACAAACAAAAAAAATATGCAAATTATTGAAAATGAATTTACTATCTGGTATGTCCATTTTATTTTGAATAAAGAGGAATTTGGCGTGGCGATGAAGATAATTTTAAGGGAGCGGTGGCCTAGTAGTAAAGGTATCTGCCTCTCAACCCAGGGGTTATGGGTTTGAGTCCTAATCGGGTCACGACCATGTTTCTTCATATGACACCAGTACTGGTTGGTTCCAGGAAGCGGACTCGAAAATTGATTAATATAAGTTGCAAGGTCTTGTTTCTCAATGATTATCGAGCTTAAATAAATATATTTAAACAACTATCAACATAATTATGTCCATTAACTTGCTCAATGTAATCGAGTTTGTGATATGTTTCAAATGAGCCGCGTCACGACAAAGCCAACATAATGGGTTTGCGACCAGCATGGATCCAGACCAGCCTGCGCTACCGCGCAGTCTGATCAGGATCCATGATGTTCGCTATCAGTTTTTCTACTTGTTATAAAGTCTGTAAGCGAACAGCATGGATCCTGATCAGACTGCGCGGATGCGCAGGCTGGTCTGGATCCATGCTGGTCGCAAACCCATTATGTTGTTTTTTTTCATGACGCGGCTCATATATTTTGACGGGGTTCAGTGGTTTCTCTTCTGACTATTTTAGTCATGTAAATTGTGAAACAAGTTCATGTTTCAATAACTTCAGTCTTTAAAAAAGAAAGAGGTCTCCGTTTATAATGTTGATAAATAAATTGTTAATAGAAAGACTATGGCACCATGGGGGGCATAAACATTCAGTATATACCTTGGTGTTGAAGTGGCTTTTAATTTCATTACAATTTTAAAACCAAGTTCAAAACAGAATGAAGGACGCCATGGTCACATTAACACAAATTCATTAGAAAATAGAGTGATGTTTTTTAATTATTTTGTTGAAGGACTTGATGAGACGAGTATATCTTAAAATCTACATTATAATTGCAGATATTTACAAGTCCTCGTGTCTCCACACCCACAAGCACAACTCCAGGTACTGCCACAACTCCAGGTTGTATCTGTTGTGAGTTTAGAAAGCAAGGATATGTTGTTGTTGTAGCTGAGTAAGTACTTAAAATTTGATCATAATAAAAGGGAATAACAACTTCCAAAAACTTAAAAAAGTACAGAAGTGATGATAGCGCATGTATTTATTTAACAAGAGCACCACAGGCGATGTTAACGCTCGTCTTTTAATGCCAACCAATTTTTGTTGCCTTATCATGACAACAAGAATTTCAAGTTTCATGTTGAAACCTTTTAAAATGATTGCATAATGGGCTACATAAAAGTTTTTGTACGACGACGATGACGACGATGTAGCGATCATAAAAGAAATATTTAAAAGTATATTCTTCTAAATGTCGAAAATGATGCTTCTCCATGGATTAACACATCTCCAAACGTTAATGGTAGTCTTTCAACTTTAAAGCCATTTGATTTTCTGTTTAAAGAATAATTTAAAAAACAAAACAAAGGAGAACATAAAGATTCGCATTTATATGGGTGGTTCAAAGGATAGTTTCAAGCCGGTGCAACCGTCTTAGAACATCATTTTACATCTAGATATCTCAAAATCAAAATCAACTGTAGTTGTGATGCTAAGGCACGTCTGAATAAAAAGAGATAAAAGAGATGGTCAGTCCAACATGTCCAAAGCAAATAAAAATAGATTTCTTGTGTATGTCAAAATATAATAAAGTGTCGATGTTAAGGCACGTCTTAACGGTACTTTGCACATTCCAATATCGTCAATGGACAGGCTGCACCAAACCGAGCCTGTAACATTTTCAATTTTGTCGATTTTGCGCGTTATTTAGAGATTCTCTATTTTAATGTAAAAATGGTAGGGGCTGATAATGCACGACACAATCAATTAATCAGAAGCCGCAAATGAACGTTTTTATGCAATGGAAAGACGCTGCTCATATACTTCATAAAGTATTTAGGAATGCAAATGGACGTTATAATAACGTATCATTTGGTTACCACACTATAATGAAGAATAAGCCACAACAAGAAACAAAACAACAACAAAAAGCAACAAATAAACTAAACAACAACAACAAACAGAGTGACTGCTAATGCGCGCCAGGTTTAAGAAGGCTTCTTATTCACATCATAAGTAGGTTTTAATATACAGACGGATTGATTAGACCTACCAAAATTACGTTTTAACTCCCTGCTTTTGCACGTGTTTAACATGCTCAATTGGAGCGATTGCTTATGCATGTCATTAGTATGTAAAGAGCAGACAGTGATATTTGGGAAACACAAAAATGGATCGGATTTCTATTTTAGTTCACCGAAACTGTTTTGGTCATATGGTGACTTTCAAACCTTCCTAGTGCTAAAAAACCTCAGTGCCCCTATAGTTCCGCCCATTGTTTTCTTTTTTAGCATTCGCTGTTGTTCTTGGAATGGCACTTACGTGGCCCATGATCACTGCTGAACGAACGCGTCTGCGAATTTTTTCTTAATTCAAATTTTGCTATTTTCATATTTTTACCATGAATTCAGCCTCAGTTGGTCTAGAGGGCGTTGACGGTAACTTGTACTTGTCTTTACCTTTCATGTAAAATCTCAGTCAAATCAAGCATGCAACGTTTTCAATTTTGCCGCTTTGGGTGTTCCTTTAGGGGTATTGTTTATCTCTATTTCATCTTGTTTTACATTCCACTTGAGACAATTATAGCAGAGACATAGATATTATCTATTATGTTATAATAATTATGTTATCTATGTCTCTGATTATAGTCTTCAGTTTTTTAGTTAGTAGTTACTAGTATAATATTTTTAACAAGCTATTAGAATATACACAAAATATACACTAAACCTCTTGGGTATCGTATTTCCAATACTTTAGTGCTAATGTTCACATTTAACTCAATGTTAAAGTCTTCAGACAATTGGTCAAATAATTGTTGAGTTCGAATAATTTTGATGACGAATATTGAAATACGTGTAATTATGCAAGCTGTATCAAATACCACAGTCGCATATCTGGGCCCTTTCCGTCAAACTTCGGATAATATGGATAGCAGCCGAGATGTTCCGATTGACAAATATTAATGAATCAATCGTTATCAAATAAATCTAATATATTCTTGAATTATATTAATTATTTGGTTATACAAGATAATACTATTTTTATTATTATCGAATATTATCGAAGAAAGCTATGCAACCCATAAATGTTATACAAAATTAGGAATAGGAAAAACAGTCGTCACAAAAGTAAATACATTTAAAACAGTAGTATTATCTAAGTATAACAAATTCTTCACAACGAAAATATTCGTGTCTTCAGTTTGATCATTTAGAAATTGATGCACAATGACTTACTTATAATTATATGTGCTAAATACAACATTAGTATATGTTTTGTTTCAGGATAGACGGACCAGAGGCAGATTGTTAACATACCAACACATCACGTGATAAAGCCTACAGGCTTATCAATAAATCCATGCATTCTGTCTTTTTTCTGAATAAATAGTCCAAATAAGAATATGTCTTTGTTTTTTATTCATATTTCCTATATACATGTCCTATTGAACGAGTTTTGTTCATTCTGCAGCTCATCGATGATTTTGATTACTCGACATTAACTTATTAAAAAAAAAAAACAAAAAAAAAACACACAAACGATGCAATTCCGACATTTGCAAATGAGTTTGTCATCCACTATTTATTTTAGATTTTAAAGAAATAGATCTACTCTTATTACGACAGAAAATGTTTAACGTCGTTATTTAAAAAAAGGGCAAGAAGCTATAAATGAGTGGGCAAAATACTTACGCAATTAACAATAAAAATATTAATAATTGTACACGACATTATGTAGCACAGACAGGGTTTTAAGCTTGTATTAACTGATTGAGGACTGAACACTGACGATTTTATACTCTTTTATAACTCACGAATATACTCAATAAAATAAAGAAAAACATAATCCCTAAAGAAAGCCCAATACGGAAAAATTGAAAATGTTACAGGCTAGGTTTGATTGAGTCTGTTCATGGAGGTAGTGGTAATTGCAAGCTACTGCCCATGGTCCTTAGTAGCAGAATTCAACATATAACATAAACTGGTAAAATTTTGAATTTTGAAACATCTGCAGATGTGTTCATATAACACCTGAGTGCCATTCCATGAAAGCAGCATACCGTCCTAAAGTAAAAAGAAAATGCGTGTGCCAAAAACGAGAAAACAAATTGAATGTGAAATGGAATTTTGAAAGGGGATCAGAGGTTATGAACACTGCATATCACAGTTAAGCTGTCAAAAGACAAAATTAAAAATCAGGAAACATATCCTAAGAGTGATTGAACAGAATTTATTGAAGAATATACTAGAACCACCCGATTAGAAAAACAACACATTGGAAAGAACTAAAAGTACCAATAACATGCACTCGCATCATTAATGTCGTGTTGAACGGTCTTCAAGGGACGAAAATATAACATCTTAAACCGGGTAAACGGGTTTCAACTTTTTGTTCGTAATGCTCTCAAATGACATCCCTTTTTCACATTTATTTATATTTTACCTGCTTCAATCATGCGCCCAAATAAGGATTTAAACAGGCGACATAAAGATCAAATAATGAATAAATGTGAGAAGATAAAAACAAATACTAAGTGATATTTATTATCAGGCGCCCCTACGTATTGGCAGTATGCATCAATGCAATGAGGATTTATCATTTACAAAGTTTTTTTGTTATATTACGACAATATTTAAAATTCTGTTTGCTAAGTATGGAATGTTGACTGCAAATCATACTGTAAGCAAAGCTATGAAACAAATATTGCATGTTCAAACAACATATACAAAAGAATCAAACAGCATCTGTTTTCATTTTGAATTTAATATATGTTTTGATTATAAAACATACATAAAGGTACCCGTATACAAGAAAAGTACAAAAGGAAGTTGACTTTGGATATTATCGCTGTGTCTAGCATAGAATTTATTTTATAAGTCATACAGACCGTTTTAAAATCGATCGATTTGTTAATAAGAATGATAATACACTGTAGTAATTAATATAAAATATGTCAGCATGTCAAAAAATACGCTGAAAACACATTTCACAGTAAGATTTGTACTGAAAATAATCGACACTTCGATAGTCTCCAATATATTTAAAGTGAGCATTATTGAGTAATGAGTAATTGAATTCTGAAATGTTGTCTAGAAATGACTCAGCTCTAAAACAACTATCTAAACATTCATGTTCTAATAATGAAATTAATTTATGGCCTCCTAGCAGGATGTTTCCTTAAAACATGCTTGTTGTAAGATAGGGATGTAGTTAAGTCACAATCACGTCCTTGTATAGGTTCAAAGTGCTTATTCATTTGTTATTCGGCACTTTTTCACAATTGCTCATACTATACAAAGTTGTCAAGCTATGGTACTTACCAATTTGTGTTTGGTTAACTTATATTTCAATTGAGTCATATGCGTCTTGGACATATTTACATAAATTGACGATTAAGTATATAAATTAGTTTACTGTACTTTAAACAGAATTGACGCATAAAGCGTCGTTTGAAGTATTTTCTTTTAATATGTTATATGCTCTGTTTTCCATAGAAACTAAAAACAAATCTTATGCCTCACTTCTTTCACAAATATACTAATATTAGGATATATACATTTGTACTTCAATCTTAGTACATTAAATTACATGTGCATGTAAAGGTAGAAAATTCAAAGATAACATTGTATCATAAACGTATTTAATTGAGAATTTAGTAAATTTGTCTCAGAGAAGCAATAAATTATTAATGCTTACATGTATGCTAAATCTACTAAAGATATCGTTTGTACACAATGCGCATAACGAACAATGGAAGAATAACTTGCTCAATGACTTGTTCATAAATAATTGATATTCAAAAAAAAACTTTTACCCCATTGAATGAAAATTGAACGATATGATTAACATTCATTTTGAAGAATAAAGCAAATTAATTAGCCACAAGCGAAATGCCAATTTTAAAAAATGCGCCAAATTGATTCAGTAAATGGTATAATAGTGATAGATTTAAATTGAACTAAATGGCATATGAAATTGATGCAAGCCATTTTTTTTTGCGCATTGAAATGTGAAAACATACTTAACTTAAATAAATTTAAATCGGTAATAAATTATTGGTTAGTAAGTTTTTAGTTTCAGTTCAAATATATGTAAAAGACAGAGCCTTGGAACAATAAAAATGACATCGTTCATTTGCGAGACATGATAACAGAGAGAAAAACACTATATATTTGAATGTTGAGCCAGTTACAATGTGTAGTGCAGTTTGTGACAGTATATAAAGCTGTACTATATTTGCAGTGGCTCTGCTATCACGGCTGTTCTGCTAGGTACCGTGCCGGAATTGGTCTGGCATATCGACTTGTTGGTATTTGTATACTTGTTGGTAAAAGTATATATCATGTCTACATAATATATTGTGTATACAGATGTGGCGTGATTCTGTTTATTTGCAGATTAATCGAAGAAAAGTGCGTTCCATCAACTTCTATTCCTACAAGTCCATTTCCGACATCTTCGACATTCGTTGAATCGTCGAGTACATCGGCATCTTCTTCAACTGCATTAACATCACCTGATGTATATATAACAAATTTATAATTGTATATATTTACTGACAGAGGTTTAACTATATAAAATATTAAGAAAATGAGCTTACTCGAAAACTCAAATGTATTATTATACATGTTTGTCATTGTATATGAAGTTCAGCCTGGTTTAGTATCATTTCAACAGTTTTTAAAATTAAAAGTATGGTTGTTAAGAGTATGAACTATTAATTTACCGTGTAAAGCACACATTTTTAAACGTTTGGCATTGAAAGATATATTACATTTTACATGCATACACCTATACATTATATTCTGTGGCAATTCTGTTTCATGGCACCTAATAATGTCAATTTCTACTCTTTTTTAATTCCTTGAACAGTTCTTGTGTTTTCTTTTTACAAATACCATTAAGCATTTAGAAAATGGTCAGCCCAAGGTTGCATTTATTTTCTGCAATGTCGTTTACAGGTAATGTCTAAATCAACAACAACATCGCCTGATTGTTGCTGTGAGACGAGGAAACAAGGCCGTGTTATAGTTGTTGCAAGGTAACCTACATGTACCTCTGTTATTCATAAATCAAAGAGTCGGCAACAAACCTCATTTTACGTTTCTTTAATTTATTTGAAAAAATACATGTTTATATTTCATTGCTTTTTTGACGACGTGAAAAGCTTAAGAGTATAAATATAGTACATTATAGTTTATTTTCATAAGAATTTTAAGCATGTTCTTATTTGATAAGATTGCCTTATATACCAGTAAGTTTATTTGTTTAAGGGCAACTGACGTTACAAACGTCATGCCAGAATGTACACATAACATTAATTACGATTTCAATTATAATGTAAACACATACATATACCTACAACATATATTATTACTTATATTTATTATAGAGTAAACAAATGCAGCAGACGGGGAAAGCGTACATAGTTTCAACGAAGGCCAACGTTCTGATTTTTACGTAATTTCAAAGTCTATTTTTTTTTTGTTTCAACTATCAATGTTTTAAAATCAAATAAATCTTATACAGGAGAGAAATGTGTTTAATTTTTTGTTCGTTTTCAACAAAAAACTCTTTTTCAAAGCCTCTGACAACAACTTCATCATATCAACTTTAATAAATATACAATATACAATCATGTAAAATAATGTTTCATACCGCCGTATGAACACATCTGCGGATGTTTCACAATTCTGAATTTTACCATTTCATGTAAAATGTTGAATACTGCTTATTATTTTCATAGATATTGTAAACGTTTAGATTTCGCTAGTAATGTTTATATTAAAATGAGATTATTCTGATATTAAAAATGAGATTATTCTGATAAACATTTATTTTATACAAAATCAATTTTTTCCGCAGCATATATGTTCATTCTCCAATATACTGTAAATCTTTGAATTATATCATGTGTTTATCTATTTATAATATTTGATATGTGTAATGTAACAAGATAATGTATTGTATACGTTACGAATTCTGTTTTCTGTTCTGTTTTTCTTAAACCGGTGCTGGGGCGTGGGGGGCGTGAACCGTAACTTGCACTTTTATTACTGTTCAGGCGCAATCAAACCGAGCCTGCAACATTTTCAATTTTGTCGTTTTGTGCGTTCTTTAGAGATTCTTTATTTATCTTTATTTTACTATAATTCAAGTAATAAATATGGCCAGATTTTTATGATGTATTAAAATTAGTTCCAACTTTCTTCCCAGTGATTTTAATTGACGTATTACAAAAAGTTTGACCTTTACAATAGACAATATAACTTTGATATAAAAATTGATACAAGTTGACCATAATAATACATGTATGTCTAACACAAATACTTATACTTGAGAAAAAGTTAAAACTAATCAATAAAAAAGAGGTACATTGTAAAAGTTGCGTTCGTCCTTGAAAAAAGATACGTTACTTTAAAAAGATTTTTATAGTTTGATATTTTTATATTAGCTTTCTTTAAAACGTTACTCACAATCATAAAGTAATCCGGTTATTAAAGAGAACAATGCCAATGGTTTTGTTCCTTGCTTTAGCATTTAAATAAACTTAAATATTAACTATTGTGTAATATTGTGATCAATTAGTCACATAAAGCGTCGCGGTACTATCTAGATCAAGAATAATTGTTCTCAATTTAAAAAGTAACTACGAATGATATTATGAATAAATCTCGGCTTTAACATATTTCATTCTATTTTCCCTGGGAATTTATCATAGTTTAACATTGAAAATCGTTAAAATACATCTAAATTTTCAAATTGATAATATTTATGATATTTGTTTCAATTAGTCAATCCACCTCAAGGCTTATTACTTTTTTGCAACAGTAATTAAAACCCAATTAACTTCAAATACAAGTGTTTGATCCGTTTTTTTTTTATTTGATTTTATTCGATTTATTTCAAGTGTTTTTGACAATTCAATATTTTATTTGCAATAATCAGCATACAAAATGCCTCTGGCAAAGGTTAACAAACTACAATATATATACAAATCACACATGCATCAAATTACATATAATTGTTATACAATTGTTACATCATTGCGAAGCTGATTTGGAGAAACAGTAAAGTATATGACATGCATTAACTTACATATTAATTTCATTTCTTTTCAAAAATGCTTCATTTAAAAATTTCGATACATTTAGTAAAGTTGACTGTTTTCTACTTGACATTAAACTATAAAATTTAGGTAAAGATGGCCATGCTGTGTTTGGAAAATATTTTTTGCGAATTTCAGAATAATGAGTACAGATTAAAAGAAAGTGGTATTCACTTTCAACAACATGCATTGTACAATTTTCACACAATCTATTCTGTCTATCTATACCTCGATAACGGCCGGTTTCTATAGCTAGATTATGACTGCTTAACCTAAAGGATGCAAACAGTTTCACTAATTTGTCACTTTTTATTTTGTTAAGATATTCCTCTGATTCAAATACAGTTTTAAATTGAACATAATAAGATAATTTCGGCAAATTATTGATTGTCGTATGCCAATGTTGGATAAATTGATCTCTCAATCTTCGTGACAAAGTAGGAAAATAGTTTACATCTTTATTAAAATTATCCCATATATCATTTAAACCAAGATTATACAATAGTTTTTTTTACAGAGAGAGCCCAATTTTGATCATTATTACTATTACACTCAATAGAAAATAACTTACACATTAATGACTCTGGATTTGATTTTAATTTAGTGTAATATTTTAGAGATTTTTCTTGGCAAATAACTGATAGGGGGAATCTCCCTAATTCACCTAAAACAGCGTAATTTGGAGTCTGCGATTTCACACCCAGTATGGTTTTGCAAAATTTTATGTGAATCTTATCAACCTCTTTAGGACAATATATTCCCCAAACTTCCGCAGAATAAAGCAAAATTGGTGCAACTAGGGAATCAAACAATTTAAGTTTCGTTATAATATCGACATGTATTCTTGTAAAAAGACTTAACAAATTATACATTGCCTTTAAAGCCTGATCAGAAAGAATTTTTGCTGTTTTAGCAATGTTACCATTTGAAACAAAAGTCACTCCTAGATAACAGAAACTGTCTACAATATCAATAACATTATCATCAATGTAAAATTGTCTTTGCTCTCGAGATTTACGTTTTTTCAAAAAATACAAATTTTGGTCTTCTTTATATTTATCTTAAGACCCCATTGTTTGGAATATTCATATACATAGTTAAGGTGATTCTGTAAAGTATTAGGATCGGTAGAAAATACAACCATATCATCTGCAAAAAGCAACATAAATACACATAATTGGTTAAGATCATAGTCTGATAAAATATTAAGGTTAATGTTTTTGCATACATCATTTATGAAGAGTATGAACATTATCGGTGAAAGTGGCTCTCCTTGTTTCAATCCAATTGATATATCGAAAAAGTCTGAAAATTTACAAGCATTTTTAACACATGACGAAACTTTTTCATATATTGCTTTTATCATATTCACCATTTTACTGCTAATTCCCTCTTTTAACAATTTAACAAATAATGCTTCTCTATTAACTGTATCGAAGGCTTTTTCGTAGTCTATAAAAGCACAATACAATTTCTTTTTATCATGTAACACTTTTTGGATATAATACAATGTAATAAAATTATACAATCGGTTGTGCTTTTTTTATCTCTGAAACCAAACTGATTTTCACAAAATATATCTTCTGTCTCGCACCATTTGTTTATTCTGTTTCTTAAAACAAGGGAAAAAAGTTTAGCCATGCTATTCACAAGAGTAATACCCCTGTAATTACTAGGATCGGATTTATCACCCTTTTTGTAAATTGGGACAATTATCCCCTTGGTCCAAGAATCAGGATAAACCCCTGCATCATAGATAATGTTAAATAATTTAACTAAATATGGTGTAATGAAATCTTTAGCGTCGATAAAAAATTCGGCCACAATTTTATCCGTTGATGCAGCTTTATTTCTATTGCATGAGGAAATCGCTTTTAAGATTTCATCTTTGGTGATTTTTGTATCTAAAAAATCTACATGAAATTTCGTCTAAATTTACTTCTAAATCATTCATATCTGTATTTCTTGGCATGTTAGCAAAATGATTAACAAAACTCGTCTAAAGAAACATCGAAGTTTGTACTCTCATTCTTATTTCGGAATTTATTAATTTTCTGCCAAAATTTACGAGGTGATTTTTTACTTAAATCAGAAAATATATTTTTTTCAGTCGTGAAAAACTTTAATTTAGCTTTATGTTTGATTTTATTATATTTGCTCCTTAATTCTAAAAAAAACGTTTTCTGTTTTCTTCTGTGTTTACTCTTTTGAGCCTTCTTCTCGCTTCAAAAAAAGTGATTTATAATGCCTACATTCTTGATTAAACCATCGATTTTTGCCCTTTTTGCTATTAGTAAGACCATTTTTGTTATTGTTTTACCATAAATCATAGATGAACATTTATATATCACATCCGAAAATGCTTGCATACCTTCACTGATATTAATATTTTTGTTATCAATTTCGTATACAATCTTGTCAAAATCATTTCTATTATTCTCTAAACAAGCCAAAAGGTCACAAACATGATCATTATTCCACACTAATTTATCTTCTTTAATGATTGTTTTATTAGCAGAACTTGACAAATCACAATTTAAAGAAAATGATAAATATGAACAATATGATAAAGATCTACAAGGTCTACAAATTAGACAAATTTATATACCTAATGAAACGCACAGAGAAAGTAGAAGTATTTCCGAAGCATAACCTTCTTTATTCAACAACTTAATTCAAACTCTATATTGCACAATTTCTTATGCAAGATTAATTGGACAATGAAAAAGGTTTTTGCTAAAATAAAACTCGTGTTTTCTTTATTTAACAGCAAGGAATAATGTTTGTTTACAAAATTTATTTTTCGACTTAAATACAGATGAAATTACATCAAACATAATGCAACTTAATTTTCTAATTGTTTGCAATAAATTCATAACTAACTAGTAAGAATAAAAAAATTCTACTTGTTTTTACAGAATAGAAAACTTTAACCCTAGAACTATAAGTTTTTAGACAAATTCTTTGATAACAACTGGTTCCCAAAATGACTTATGTTATATTTAAGAATACATAATAATTATATAAACTATAAATTGCTAGCCGGGTGGGTTCAACTCCTAACCAGGGAGAGTCGAAGTCGTTGTTTCCTTGAGCAAGAAACTTTAAACTTTAGTACTGGTTGGTCCAATAAACGGTTCGGGAGTGTGTCTATACTTTATAAGTTTATAGCTTCTACAGAATTTAACAAGAAATATTCTGTATAAAGAAAGCTACATTTCAGGTTTGTTTCCGCACGTATAATGTTGATCTCGTTGACGGACACGTGACCTCATGCAAAATAGCAGACGTGATAATATGATAACAACGTCAATGACAATCTTGCTAATAACTGATGTCACCGGAAATACTTTTCCTATCAGAATCTGAACTACCATAAGTTTATATCATCAATCAATTAGCACTACATGTATACATTGTATATACACATGTATGTATATCAACTGACGGATAACATTGCAAGATACTGAATTTTACGAGTAAAACAATTTTTATTTCTTGTGTACAATTCTAAATTTGGAGAGTAATAAAGAGGAAGCAGCCAAAATCATCACTGTCTCCCTTCATTGTCGCCGTTCATGGATGACATATACCATTAAAAAGATTCGGTCATTTCTACCATTACACCGCCTGACCCTTATTTCCCTTAAAATAAGAAACCCCAGCTGTTTTGTTCAGGAACTTGAACTTAAGTTATTTTATGTCCCAGTCAGGGAGAAAAAACCACAATCATGCCATGCTAGCCTCTGGCGGCTATGCTCCTATGACTAGATCTACATCGTTAGGTAGGGCTGTTAAAAGCTGTATTAGTACATTTTGTGTTATCGGGTGTCTTGTGTCATGCCTTTTCGATGATCTTCGTAATCCTTCTAGCATTCTTTTGACTATGAATTGTTTTGTATTGTCTAGAAAATTGTTTATTTTATTAAAATAACTTATTGCTGAAACGTGAACAGCTACCGTTGAAAATGAGTATTGACGTAAAGACATATTTGCAATATATTCCGTTATATTTGTACAACTAGCGGCCGTTTTTATAGACCGGATTGAGCGCCAAATTCTTCAAATGATTTTAAACCTGCAAGGTAAGTTTTTTTGTGTTTTTTGACTAAGTGCAGCATTAATTAACCGATCTTTCCCTATTGGAAGAGCACATAAAGGTTCCGGGATAAGAGAAGCTGGGTATTCTGGTAAAGCCCGGATCACTTAATTTTTGCCACTGTAAAATGTTAAAATGTATTGACTCCTTCCGGTGGAAATAAATAATTTACGCAATCGCTGTGCATAACACAACAAAAAATGTTGAATTTGAAAATGCCTACAATATGCACAATAATTATAAGACTTGGTACTGATCATTCCTGTAAAGTTTGGATGAAATTGCATTAGAAGTTTTTGAGGAATAGTCCGGACAAGTATTGTGAATGACGGGCAGACAGACGACGGAGAAGTGACCCCTATACACTCAGAGGCACTTACAACCCGACACTTACATTTTTATATAAGAATAAGTTATTTCTGGACGGATTTTGTTCAAATTTGGACCATACAAATTCAACATATTATATTGGAAAGTATTAAAACTGGTTAATATATAGATTAAGTGGGATTCAGAGACTGTTCATTTTGTTACGATATTTACAGCCATTCTGTGATTTTTCATTTTGCAGTAGCATAATTATTTGTTTTGTTATTTTCTCTATTTTGTTATCAATGAATTGTATATAAAAATTCTAAGAAGTAAGTATGATAATTTTGAATTTTGTATGGTCCAAAGTGGAACAAAATCCGCTCACAAATAACCAATTTATTTCGGAAAATGTAAGTGTTGGGTTATAAGTGTCTCTGAGTGTATGTCACAGCTACTTTGTAGAGGACGACATGGAAATACATTAACAATGTATTTTACAAAAAGATTTAATAAATAAATTATGCACAACGATTTGACTGCATAGATTATTTGCTTTCGCCAAATACAGTCATTTTATAACAATTTATAAAAAAGTATATTATAGAATGATAAATATTTAAACATTTTGTTATATAATTTCAATTAAAATTTGAATTTGTTTGGAATAGAATCATTGAAAAAAAATGTTGCCTTTTACTTTTTATATTATTATTGAAAGAGGTGTTGTTGTAGATTGTTACATTTTATTGTTGTTTTTATCTTGATAATATTATATTGTAAATTAGTCATTAATTAATTTTTAATTCAGTTTTTGTACAGGCAATTTGTTTCATATATAATAAGTTAACAATAATAAGTAATAGCGTAATACTACATACGTTTCACAAAATAATAATGGGAAATGTGTCTGTTCATGTTGTAGTATGAAATTATAAAAAAGATGATATCTAAAAAAATATCATTATGCATTATGGGGTAACAATTTTATGCTCAATTAGTTTGAACGATAAACAAAAATAAAATGAACCCAAAGGCAATAATATTTATAGTGCATTTTGACAATTAATTACGTCATTATTTTTCTTTTCAATTTAATTGACATGCTTTAATGATTATGTATTCCGTGACTGATTCTTCAATTTTGGAAGAAGCTAATTTATTACTCTAACTTTATCAAAAAGAACATATATTCTCTTATAGCTTTAATTCTGATATAATTAAGCTGAAATTGGAATTTAAGAATGGTGGATTTTGTTAACAAATCTTTTATTTGGTGAGTGAACTGATTTATTTAATAGAGCAAAATTATTAACTAATTAATAGGCTGTCAACATAATTATAGTTATAGTATATGTTGCGAGTTAACTTTATAACATTTGAAGAGATACAAAACCTCAATTCATGCAAAAATGTCATATTTTGTGGCAAAAAATAATAATTTTGTACAAATTCAGACAAATATCTACAAATTAAAATATATGTGTTTAGCTTTCGATAACAGTATTTCGAACGTGCCTCTCACTTGCGACACCTATTTATTTACAATAGCATTTTTTTCTTCATAATTTACAGGTTGGCTGCCTTGTCGTTACTTGTATGTAGTGTACAATCAACAGTATTACCTGTAGCAGAGTAAGTTCTTATTTTACTTATTTTCTTCTTCTGCATGTAGCATCCAATTAATGTGAATAATATACAGATAAATAAATGGCATCTTTACCCATATCCTGCTGAATGTTGTATAATGAAGAAGAAGAAGAAGAACAACAACAACGTTTATTTCACTTAAACTACAAGTTTCTCGTGATTAACATATATACAAGCATACATATATAATGACATGAACGATGACTTCTAATCCAGTTACCTCTCTGGCGTGGGTTCGATCCCCGGGAGATGCTTTGGTAGTTTAGCGCGGAGGAAGGTAGTCTAGTACTGGTGTAACTCTCCAGGAACGATGGTTAGGAAACTACCCGCCTATATGACTGAAATACTGTTGGAAAAAGGCGTAAAATGAAACAAACAAACAAACATAATGACATGAAAAATACAATGACATGAAAGTAAACATAATATATTGTATAATGTATTTGCCAGTTTCTGTTTTACGTTTACAAATGAATGTAAATTTAGATTTATCAGCTGACTGCATAGTTTTGCAAGATAATCTGACTATATGTAATGTTCGTTTCCAAGCAACGTATAAAATTTAACTTTACACTGAAAAAGTGAAATACATGTATTCAATGACAGAAATATACAGGAGTTTGTACATACATAAAAGTGAAATCCAAAACTCACACACTATAGTATACTTTTAATAGATTCACGATATACTTGAAAAATTGAACTGATTTTCCTCTTTCCCCTGTCTGAAGTATTATATCGTTCAATTTAAACGAACATGTACTTTATCCGAGTTCATACTTTGTCATAGTTCATACTTTGTCATAGTTCATACTTTGTCATTGTTCATATATACTTTGCCATTGTTCATATATACTTTGTCATAGATCGTACTTTGCGATAGTTCATACTTTGTCATAGTCCATACTTTGCGATAGTTCAGACTTTGTCATAGTTCATACTTGGTCATAGTTCATACTTTGTCATAGTTCATACTTTGCGATAGTTCAGACTTTGTCATAGTTCATACTTTGTCATAGTTCATACTTTGCCATAGTTCATACTTGGGCATAGTTCATTCTTTGTCATAGTTCATATTTTGTTATATTTCATACATTGTTATACTTCAAACTTTGTCATATTTCATAACCATGATGACTCATTGAAATTTACATGCAGCAATTTTTATTTCTTTTCTAGGATATTTCAAAGATATTTTACCGGATCACCGTGTGTGAATTGCTGCGAGACTCGGACACATGGACATGTTATCATACAGGCAGAGTGAGTATTTAAGACAGATAGACTATAATAACAAACAAAAGAATAAAAGGTTTGTTTCATGATATTCATAATAAACGATGTTAATTGACACATCAAAGATTTTAAAATTTTCAAATCTTGATATGCATACATGTATATGTGTGTAGTATTTCAACAGAAAACCGATCGCATGATTATTCATTATTACGGTTAAATAATTTCATTACCCATTTTCAGAGTAATAGAATGTGATATACCTGGTTCTTCTTCACCAATGCCGTCCTCAACAGTTGCACCATTCAAATCTAGCACTGAGATACCATCTAGCACTCCACTAAATGCCACCTCTGTTCCGCCATCTTCATCTGCGATGCCATCTTCATCTGCGATGCCATCTTCCACCGAACAACCATCATCTTCTGAGCAACCTTCAAGTTCAACAATGATGACAAACGCAACATCCGTTAGCACAACAATTCTTCCAACAACGAGATTAAGTTCTGTAATGTCTAGTAGCATTAACCCAGTAAGTTGTGTGTTTATTTGTTGATTTGAGTTGTTTTCTCCTTTATTTTTATTTTTCAGTAAAAACGCAAAGACGCGAAAAGACGAGTGTGTTTTAGTGTTTTAGTAGCGAAAAAGGCAAAAATAAGTCGTTTTGAGCGTAAAAAAGCAATGGAATTATAGCCTCGTCATTTATGGAGTTAATCATACTATTACCAGTCGTGTATCAATTAAAATTATCATATTTTGCCGCTCTCTGCAATTTACATAATTACAAACTTACCGGCTTTGAATATTTTAGATTTACACTCACTCATATATTTATTCTGTAAGTAGCCAATATCACCCAAATGCAAACATATATATCTATTGCATACTTTTTGCACAGCTCAATTATAAAAACGTTATAAATTCTCAAACATTGTGTATATATTACTTTTTATTTTTAGACAAGTTCACCATCAACTTCACCTCCTGACACATGTAGCGCTGGCGAGATTTGCTGCGAGACTAGAACCATTGGAAATGTCGTTATTATTGCAGAGTAAGTGATCTTACCGAGGAGTTAAAGTGTCGGACTAGTAATTTAAGGATAGCTGACTGCGTGGGTTCAACCCCATCAGGGGCAAGCCGTTGTTTCTGTTAGCAAGAAACTTTACACTCATTGCTTAGTACTGGTTGGTTCCAGGAACGGATTCGAGAGTGTTTCAATAAGTTTAAAGCTTGCAACATAATCGAACTAAAATATAGTAGTATAAACTGAGAGAAATGTTTTCGAAACGTATCAACTTTTTGCAACAGTTTATATCGACCGAGAAAAAGATCAACAACTATTTCCTATTACATAGTATTGTTGATGAATTATCTTGAAACTAAGAAATGCTTTTTATTTTTGTGTCGCGTTTGATTGAAAAAAAGTTACTTCTGTTACTTTTTGGCAATTAGTACAGTATTAGGGGTTTATATTTTCCTACTTTTATGACAAATAATTTCACATTCATCATGTGATAAGCAAAGTAGGTAGTGCTCTAAACTCATAATTTAACTATTATAAAACTCATGTTAGCATTTTTTTTCTCAAATGTATCTATTACTGAGGCATAATGTGCCTTTAAGACTAGTTCATGTATGAATGTTTTATAATAATTATTTTAATCGTCTTTTAATTTTCTATTTTACAGAGTACTAGAGGATTCCGATGTGATCTGTCAATCCAAGGACTACGCCATAAATGAATAGACCACCCTCTTATTATGTTATAATATCAGATCTAGCATTTCTTCTTACTTTCAACATTTTTCATAAGATTTTTAAATACGCTATTATCATTATTTTACCTAAAACCTCATTTGGATCTTAAATCCATTTTTAATCTTGGCTATAGTTATGTATTTAAGGTGAATATTGTTTTTATATAAATTAGTTTTGATATGATTCCAAGTATTGATATTTATTATTCTTTGATCTTTTTATCCGGCTAACTATACGTATTAATTTAATTAAGATGGTTTTATTTAAGTTTTTATTTATTTTCATAATTTATTTAGTATAATTGCAACATTCCTGTACCTCTTACATATTTATTGCACTGCTCAATTGAGCCGCGTCATGATAAAACAAACATAGTACGTTTGCGACCAGCATGGGTCCAGACCAGCTTGCGCATTTGCGCAGTCTGATCAGTATACATGCTGTTCGCTTACAAACCCTATTACAAGTAGAGAAACTGATAGCGAACAAAAATCGCAAAAGTCATTTGGGTTGGGAAAAAACAACGCGAAATTATATTTATATTAAACATTAAGTTCTTTATAATAAGCACAAAAAATATAAAGTTTAATTGAAAACTTAGTTTTATACGATGTCATGTTGCAGAGCTTTAAGCTCATTTGTTTTGTATATTTAAAAAAAAATTGAATTTTCATAAATCAAGAATAATCTACCCATGTTTCCATATTCATTTACCATATAATCGTTTATACACGTAGCTTGTTATACATGTAGCTTGTTATACATGTAGCTTGTTATACATGTAGCTTGTTATACATGTAGCTTGTTATACATGTAGCTTGTTGTTTCATTGAGGTGTTCTGATACCGGTTGAATATTTAAAGTGAATGTGAAACATTAATTGTGTTTATACTAAAGGAAATGTATATTTATTTGTTTATTTGATAAAAAAAATGAAATAAACATAATTAAACTATTCTTTACTTTTTACTCTTTTACATTTGATCCACTTCATATTTCCCAATTTTCTTGCGAACGACAACAGATATTTCTGTGTTTTTTATCCCTTCTGTTACGCACACTTTTATTAACAAGTCACGAAACAATAGTGATAATTATAACTGTCATTTTCTTCCAATCTTTGATAAATCTAGAACAAAAATTAAATAGAATGACGCTACTTTTTACAAGTGCCTGATAAATAAGAAACGCAAATGTTTCCCTCGTTTATTGATTTTGCCGTTGAATTCTGTTTTTTTTTCAGTAGAAACAGAATTCAATTTACACTAACTGCATATCATATTGATTTCCCGTTTAAAATGTCAAACTTGTTTTGAGAAAGACTCAAAGCCACTGTATCTTATGATTTATTTATGCCTTTAATTTAGAAGTATTTAACTTTTGCTCCTTTGCAATTTAAAGTAACATGTTTAAAAAAATAATGTACGATAAATAAAAATAATAATAAAAAAAACAACGCTATTTTCGCCTTTAGAAACTAACTTATGGGACATATATCAAGTTGAATTTTAAGTTTGAATAAATATATAGTAGAAATATGGAGTAAATGGATGTTTTTCATACTTATGTAGTTTTTTGTTTTTGAAATTATAGGTATGAGTCTATGAATTGTTTGTTAATATGTATGTTTGTATTGTTATACTTCAAATATCAAATAAATGAAAAAAAAAAAAGTTGAATTTTAGAAAATGGGATTTAAATGGAATGTAAGGGGTATAGGGCAAACTTTAGATTAACAAACAGCAATCACGTGATATATTTTAGAGGTTTTATAGGTCAGAATTATATTGAACTATAAAGGGCTGTTGTTTAATGATGACTTTCTAATTAATTAGTATAGTTGGCAAGCTGAGTCGAAACTAAAACAGAGATCTTTAAGACTGTTATTTTTCTTTTTCTTTTTTTTTGAAAAAAGAATGGGAAAGAGCACTATTAGAAGCAGGCGACGGGTTTTCCCAGCATTTCATTTTCTTCTTCACGGAATAGACATAATAAAAAAAGTCTAGATGAGATAACTATGGCCCTTGTCGCTAGCAACTTGTATAATAAACATGTATCTTGTTTGACTCTGATACAGTACAGTAATGTGGGAGAGAAGCAAAATGCTCAAGATAAAAAAATAAAAAAAAATAAAAAAAAATATTAATACAACTTGCATAACTACGGAGCCCCTAAAGTGACATTTTCTACACTTTTTTCCCGGGACTTCATTCGTTTTTACAAAATATTAATTCGTAATTACGAAATATTATTCGTACATAACGAATCAATGATAACGCAAGTTATCACCGGAAAAAGGCGCACGTGAATAAGATGTCAGCCGTACAAAGACAATGCGATTAAAAGTAATTCAAGTATAAAGTCACCCGAGAGCTAAATATTCTCCTCTGTGATGACAGCTGATGTTGATTTATTTCTTTTATTTTATAAAAATTTTAAGCATATTTCGGAGAAAAATCATACCATCTTTCATTTATTTCAAAGTAAATAATGCACAATACAGGAATGGCTTTATTGTTTAACAGATAAACAGATTGAGAAAAATAAACGATATCTAAGAGAAGTATGACGTTTTCCATGAGGTACTAGTGATTTTTTTTAATTTTGAAAATATTCACATTTATCTTTACATTTGTACATTTTAAAAAAATTAAAAGCATAGATTAAGTAGTGTATGTAATAATGTATTTATCACACACCTGTGCCGCTTTTGCGACTCCGTAAAAATAAGGTATTGCACGGCCGTGCTTATATTTTGATGTGACGTGATTTGCTTTAATTAAGACGCGCCAAATGTTAGCGTTATACTATAGGCGTGTCAATGAAAACTGGTTCTTTTTTACTTCAAATGGTCTTTATTTTTGTTATGTCATAAATGAAATATTAAATTCGTGTAAGTTCATAAGAATTTATTGAACTCTTTGAATAAAATATTATCATGCTCGCCAGAGGCTCGCATATAACATGTTCAATAACTTTAGTAATAAACGTACACTCATTCAAAACCCTTTATATCGTTAATGTATGTTAACTTAATATTAATATACCAAGGGATGTTAAATTAATTCTTAAAATAATTAACCGTCAGTTTATTCCACACGTATAAAAACCAAACGAAATTAAAACCTTAAGGATAAAATGTGAGCCGCGCCATGATAAAACCAACATAGTGCGTTTGCGACCAGCATGGTTCCAGACCTGCCTGTGCATGCGCGCAGTCTGATCAGGATCCACGCTGTTCGCTATCAGTTTCTATTCTTGTTAAAGGGTTGGTAAGCGAACAGCATGGATCCTGATAAGACTGCGCGAATGCGTAGACTGGTCTGGATCCATGCTGGTCGCAAACGCACTATGTTGGTTTTGCCATGGCGCTGCCCATATTTTGATGGACTTTGAAGGATATCCACTGAGGTCCAAAGCCTAAAATCATGAAATTCAAATTATTTACATAGATAAACTGGGGCATTTAAAATAAGAATAAGAAAGAAATATAGTGACAACTAAATTGAAAATTCTATTTTATTGCCAGCCGTAGTCCGATTTGAGTAAAATAGCGTTTTTAAAAACGTTCTTTTTTGTTATTCTACAATTTAGATTTACTGAAGAAACACAGATAAAGATATCTGAAATTTATACACATCTTGTCGAAGACAACATTAATGTCTTAATTGTGCAAGAATTTTCAGTCTCTAATTCAAATCCAGTGGTCTCTTAGATAAAAACAACGATTCAAAAATAGGTAGAAATTAAATGCGGGTTAAAGAATGTTTTGGGTAGATACACGTTTTTACTTTTTATGCTCGAATATCAATGATAATTTTGGTTATCATGTCCAGACACTTGTTTACAGTATAACACCCTACAGGGTCATTATCGTAATTAAGATCTGGCGAGATGTCATCCATATAAAGTTGCACGTGTAATTAAAAATACTTGCCAAATATTGTCTCCATAATAATAGTCTTAATTAGCAAATCATGACACTTCATCTGATAAAGTATTATAATTTTGAGAAATTATCAAACAACAACAAAATTCATGGGCAAAAGAGCTCAAGCTCGATCAAGTAGGATTAATCTAAGTTTTGAATGAAAGGAAATTATTAATTGAAATATGAAATTTTGGAAGCATAGATTTAGAATCAAAGGAGGCGGATCGTAAGTAAATATTTTTGCGCCACTGAAAATTTTGAGTATATCTTTTCATGTCAAATTTGCAAATGTAATCCTACTTGAATTGAAAAATCAAAACGTTGGCATTTGATTTGTAAGTACTGATACTAAACATAATGATTTTGTTTTGAAATAAGATTCATCTACTATTTTTTATGTCAAAATACATTTATCACGACTCAAACATCACCTAAAATGTTAAAGCAAATAAAGCTATTTATGCCGCAAAAATATTGTTTGAATTGTGTAAAAGAATACTTTTAAAATACTTGTATGAAATAAAAATGGTGTATTGCTTTACAGCGAATTGGGCATGAACAAAATCATTGCTAAACAGATATAATCTTACTTAAAATAGCAAGATTAGCATTGTTCGGAACATTTTATGCCTTTTACGTACAATACTCATGTGTGTTAAGTAACACATTCAATGTTACATCTCTTTCGAGTATCCACAATAAGATTATGGAACCAATATAACTGTACTGTTGGTGTTATAGAATATTTCATAAAATATAGCTTTATACCCTTTGATATGGTTACACCATTCTAGTTAGTTAGATTGTGGTACAAGCTTATAGTTCATTATAATACATTTTCAAATCGATACCTGGAAATAACAAGTACTGTTGCCATATGTAGAAAAAAAGAACAAACAAAAACAAAAACAAAAAACAACAAAAAAAACAAACAAACAAAAACAACAAAAATAATTAAAAAAACAAAAAAACAACAACACTAAAGAAACAAGCCCGCATACGTGATTGGGTACATTAACCATTCGACTTCTCATCCTTGTATCTTCACAATGACTTAACTGAAATACTAAAGAAATATTAAATAACGTTACAACAATATTGATAATAACTCGGCTTCACAGAACTGAATCTTTAAAGGAGCCAACTATTGGTTAGCTATATATCGATGTTGTGTGAAAATGTATAAGTTTTTTCAACAACATACAATAACTATTCAAAATAATAGTGTACATTTCCGATTTGATAAACCTCATATATTTGTTTTGCTGTCAATTTCAAGAATGTGAATATTTTAAAATGATACTTAAAATGTGTGAAATAATACGCTGTTATTTCAGGTTTCTTGACCATGTAACAGTGTACATATTTTTGATTATCATGGGACTGAAAACAGGTAGAGCACAATCGTAAGTGATTATTGTTTATTTATTTTATTTTTTCACGTCATTTCTTCCCCTGCATGCATTCACATAATATTAACACTCTAATAGTAAATAAAAAGAAAGGCCATAATCATTTAAACATTAACTATTAGACTTACAGACTGAAATCTAAAGCATAAAATAACAACATATGTGCATTTATTTACATTATTTTACTTAAAACATTTTGCATCTTTTCAATGCGAATATTTGATAAAATTTTATGGGATCAATTTCGTTCGTATACCATTTCAAAAAATTTCAATAATTTGTTGATCATAGTTCATGTCAAGAAATTCATTGTATATAGTATATGAACTCCATAAAACAAAACCAATGCATGAAGTGTGAAATCTATTACACCAATTAATGGTTAAATGGTTAAACAGCTTTAAATTTCGTATTTATTTACTATATTAAAAAAAATTCTTATATTTAACAGAATGATCACGGACCAACTGTGCCAAGGCTGTTGTGAGACTCGTACACACGGACATCTAGTAATACTGGCAGAGTAAGTTATGCACATGGTTCTCTCTTTTAAAACTTGTATCTTCATAGACGAAAATAAACGAAGATGATACTTTTTATCAACATAAAAATAAAATGTGTGTTATAAATGTCCCCAAAACAATAAGTATTTACCATACCCAAAAACAACAAAGCCTGTCGGGTTGGAAGCCAAATATTAAAAACGTATATAATTATATTGATCTTTAAAACAACAACAACAACAACAACAACAAACCCAAATTGTAATCTGATTCTTTGCTATTCTTTTAGCGTATTCGTGGATGGTGAGTGTAAACAGTCTACAAGCTCATCTTCAATGAAACAAGCAACAACTAGCAGGTCTTTGTCAACCACTGGCATCTCTACTCAATATTCAGCATCGAGTACAAACAGAACTTCTTTAGAAACAACTTCGGTTTCAAACATGGAACAAACCTCGATAACTTCATCGCCCGGAGTTTCCTCATCTAGTTCAGCTCATTCAAGTACAGAAATGACCTCTATTTCTTCATCGCCTGGAATTTCTTCAACTACTGCAGTTTCAAGCACAGATCCGGACGCTCTTTCCTCATCTTCCAGTGTTTCCTCATCTAGTGCTTCGGTTTCACACACAATTCTGACTTCTACGTATACAGCTTCCGGGGTTTCCTCGGATAACTCTTCGACGTCAAGCACAAGACATGCCTCTTCTTCTTCGACACACGAAAATTCTTCATCTCCTTTGCCAGTTTCAAGCAAAAAATCAACAGACAGAATAACGTCTTCCTCTGAAATTCCATATAGTTTTAGCTTACAATCTACAATGTTAGATTTATCATCGGTAACTATAAGTATTTACTCGACAGTTTTCCACCATGCTTCAAACACTATTTCAAGAATACGAATGACAACACCAAGCTTTTCTTCTATTTATAAAACGTTTGAGGTTACTTCTCCAACTGTTTTCACAGAAAAAGATATTTTGCAGACGACAAAATTTTCAAGTTTATCTCCAGTTATATCTTCATTGTTACCAGAAACATCTACCATTAGTACTATTATACCCGATGGCACATTTGTGACTTCAGATTTGACCACTCACGCAGAAAACAATGTATCAAGTGAAAATTATCCAGAAAGTACACAGGAAACGTTAAGTTCAACTATAACACTTCAAAATACTACAAATAACTATAATACAGATGATAAAGAAAATAAAATACCTGATTGGACAATGTCTACAGTACAGCATTATAGTACAACCTTTGATTCAAATGATTTAACATCTAGGGTGACACCTTCAGACAAAATAACTGAAACAACACCTCTAGATCTGACAACAAATTCTTTTTTATTCCCTGAAAAATCTGCAAAAATGTCCAGGCAATCTCTATCTACAAGACTTCGCACAATTCATACCGTATTAAGCACCACCGAAATTACTCGTGAGCCATTCGTATCGACAACTGATATACTGACAATATCTGACAAATTAATTACTGGTACATCTGATTCTATACAGGGTAAAACAGATATGTTTGTATCAACAAACATACACACAAAACGTACAAGTACAGAATTCCCAACTTCGTCAACTACGGTTAAATCACTAGGTATCACTTTTGCATCACCAACTAAAGAAAATGAAATAACTGATATAACTTCATATATAACACATGCGTATTCTTTCATTTCAACTGACCATGAGCTGTTAACTAAAACAGAAGTAACCACTGCAAGATTAGCGAAAACAACAGAAGATAGTAAGACAACTATTTCGGAACTGTATACTTCTATAACGCCATTGCCGTTCTCAAACCCCACAATTAGTTTACTACCAACGAATTCACAATCATCTCAAGTTATAGTAACAGACATTTCATCAGTGACATCGCTTAGATCTGATACCACAGGAGAAAGTGCTTCGTCGACAAAAGTGCAAAATAAAATGACTGATTTACCTTCATTTACTACAAACATTCCTTTATTGGGTTTATCAACAGAATATATAACGAAACGAGCGGAAACTACAGGGTTACCGTCATTCAAGACAAATATGAATTCGTTTGGAACAAGCACAATTAATTACCTCACTTCAGCAAAAACAGACTTACAAAAATTCACGACAGATTCTCCTTCATTGGGAACAACAACAGAAAATGACTTGTCCACAGTAGTACAAAAGATTACAACAATACCTTCATTAACTACAAATATTCATATGTTTGACATAACTACAGAAAGTAACACGTATACATCAAATCTAGATGCAAAAACAAACTTGCTAACATTCACGACTAATAATCCTACGTTTGTAACAATCACAGGCAGTGACACGTTTACAACGATTCAAGGTGAAAAAACATTGTCAACATTCATGGCGAATATAACTGCGCAAGTAATGGTAACTGATATTGGTCTGTCCACAACAAAACAGAATGGAACAACCTTCTTGTCCTTATTCACGACAAATATTCGTCCTCTTGTCACAACCACAGACAGTGACACTTATACAACAAAAAGAGGTGAAAGTAACAGACTTGCCGTCACTCACGACGAACATTCCTTCGTTTCGAACCACCACAGATAGTGACCCGTCCACAACAAAACAATATCAAACAACTCACTTGCCGTCATTAACGACGAATATTCATTCATTCGGTACAACCATAGATAGTGTCCAGTCTACAAACATGCCGAATGGAACAACTAGCTTGCTGTCATTCCCGACGAATATTCCTTCTTATGGAACAACAACAGAACGTTACGCAAAATCAACAACACAAGGTGAAATAACAGGCCTTCCGACATTTACTACAAATATGTATTCATTTGGCATAACACGTGAAACGTATTCAACATCTCAAGATGATGTAGCAAACTTTTCAACATCCACGATTAATATGCCTACGACAGGAATACAACATGGGACAACCTTCAGGCCGTCATTCACGTCAAATATTCTTATATCTTCGCTTGGCACGACAACAAAAAGAAAAACGTATATAACAACACAGAGTCACATAACACATTTGCCGACATTCGCGACGAGTATTCAATCGTTTGAAACAACCACCGATATAGACTCGTCAACACCAAACATAAATGAAACAACCTTCTTTCCGACATTCACGACCAAAATCCCTTCGTTTGACATAACTACAGAAAGTCAAAGTAACACGTTTACAACAACACAGGCTGACATAACAGACATGCCTTCATTCATAACGAATATTTCTTCGATTGACACAACAACAGACTGTGAAACGTATACAACAACTAAGAGCGCAATAACAGACTTGCCGCTATTTACCACGAATATTTCTTCGTTTGGCACAACTACAGAAAGAAACACAGTCACAGGAACACAAATGGACAAAACAGACCTGCTGTCAGTCTCAACGAACATTCCCTCGTTTGGAACGTCCACACATTTTGACTCATCGACTGCAAAAGAAAAAGGAACAACCTTTTTACCTTCATTCAAAACGAATATTCCCGTGTTTCAAACAACAAAAGAAAGTAACACAGATGCAACAACACTAAGGGATATAACAAATTTGCCCTCGTTCACAACGATAATTCCTTCGTTCAGCACAACCGCAGCCAGAAACACATATACAACAAAACAAAATGAAATAACAGACCTGCCATCATTCAAAACGAATATTCCTTCTTTTGGCACAACCACAAAAAGTAAAACGTATACCACAACACAAAGCGAAATATTAAACATCCCGTCATTCACGACGAATATTCCTTCCTTTGGCACAACCAAAGTAGGTAAAATGTATGCATCAACACAAGGTGAAATAACAGACTTGCCACTATCTTCATCTTCTTTGTTCGGCACAAACGCAGAAAGTAAAGCGTATACAACAGAAGGTGAAATTACACACTTGCCATCATTCACGACGAATATTTCTTCGTTTGGAACAACCACAGATAGTGAATCGTCAACACCAAAAGAAAATGGGACAACCTTCTTGCCGTTATTCACGACACATATTCCTTCGTTTCACACAACCACAAATAGCTTTTCATCCAAAGAAATAAAAAAGGAAACAATTTACCTGCCGTCAATTACGACGATTGCTCCACCGTTAAGCACAACCAAAGAAAGTAACACAAATACAACAACACAAGATGAAAATTTAGTTTTGTCCTCCTTTGCGACAAATATTATTTCTTTTGAAACAACAACAGATAGTGATTCGTCGACAGTAAAAGTAAATGGAACAACATACTTGCCGTTATTTACGACGAATTTTCATTTATTTGAAACAACCACAGAAAGTTTCACATATAAAACTAAACAAAGTAAAATAACAGACCTACCTTCATTTACGACCGATATTCCTTCGTTTGAAACAACCACAGATGGTGACTCGTCGACACCAAAAGAAAATGGACCAACCTACCAGACATCATTCACGACAAATATTCCTTTGTTTTATACAACTACAAACAGCTTTTCATCCAAAGAAATACAAAAGGAAACAACATACCTGCCGTCATTTACGACGATTATTCCTTCCTTTAGCACAACCACAGAAAGTAAGACAAATACAACAACACAAGATGAAAAATTAGACTTGTCTTCCTTTGGGACAACTATTCTTCCTATTGAAACAACAACAGATAATGATTCGTCGACACCAAAGGTAAATGAAACAACATACTTGCCGTTATTTACGACGGATTTTCATTCATTTAAAACAACCACAGAAAGTAACACATATACAACAGCACAAATTAAAATAACAGACCTGCCTCAATTCACGTCAAATATTCCTTCATTTGGCACAACCACAGACAGTGAAACGTATTCAACAACCAATGAAGAAATAACAGACTTGCCGCTATTCAAGACGAATATTCCTTCGACTGGCACAACAACAGAAAGCTACACATATACATCAACACATAGTGAAATAACAGACATGCCTTCATTCACGACGAATGTTTCTTCGTTTGGAATAACAACAGAAAGTAAAATGTATACAACAACACAAGGTATAACAACAGGCTTGCCGCTATTTACGACCGATATTCCTTCGTTTGGAACAACCACAGATAGTGACTCGTCAACATCAAAAGAAAATGGAACAACCTTCTTGCCGTTATTCACGACAAATATTCCTTTGTTTTATACAACTACAAAAAGCTTTTCACCCAAAGAAATAAAAAAGGAAACAACATACCTGCCGTCATTTACGACGATTATTCCTTCGTTTAGCACAACCACAGAAAGTAAGACAAATGCAACACAAGATGAAAAATTAGACTTGTCTTCCTTTGGGACAACTATTCTTCCTATTGAAACAACAACAAATAATGATTTGTCGACAGCAAACGTAAACGAAGCAACATACTTGCCGTTATTCACAACGGATTTTCATTCATTTAAAACAACCACAGAAAGTTACACATATACAACAGCACAAAGTAAAATAACAGACCTGCCTCAATTCACGACAAATATACCTTCATTTGACATAACAACAGCAAGTAAAACGTATTCAACAACCAAAGATGAAATAACAGACTTGCCGCTATCAACTACGAATATTCCTTCGATTGGCACAACCATAAATAGTGAAACCTATTCAACAGCCAAAGGTAAAATAACAGACTTGCCTTTATTTACGACGGGTTTTAATTTTTCGATTGGCCCAAAACCCACAGAAAAAACAGTATCAACAAACATGTTGTAAAACAGCCCGTTGTAGTGAACGAAATTCCTTCGTTTGAACGTCAAAAAAATGGTAATTTAGGACTGCAAAAGAAATGGAAAAACCTTGTACCTTTCATTAAAAGAAAAATATTTCTCTGTTACAAAAGCCGATAGTTAAAAAATTCACCAAAAATTTAAAAACAACCGGGGTTTTCACACGATTCCTCTTTGCACACTCAGAAGAAAATGTATAAACAAAACAAGTGAAATAAAAAAGGTTTTACCGTAAAAACCATTTTTTTTTTTTTTTTGGACAACCACAAAAAGTAAAAGACCAAAAAAAATGATAAAAAATCCTCCATTACGACAAAATCCTTCTTAAAAACCCCAAGAAAGAAAAATGAAAAAAAACAAAGGAAAAACAACTTGCGGTAATTTACCGATTTTTAAATTTTTTATTTGAAACAACAAAGATATGTTCAAAAACAAAAGAAAAAAACAACCTTTCCCGTTTTCGACAAATTTTCCTTTTTTTTGATAGAAAACCAGAAAGTAAGATGCATACAATACTTTAAGATGAACCAACAAACCTTCCAACATATTTGATATGTGACTCGTACACAGCAATAAAAAAAAGGAACAACGCCATTCCAGACGAATATTCCCTCGTTTTGCACATCAACAGAAACAGTAGCAGGTACAATAAATGACCTAGATTCATTCACAGGGAATATTACTTCGTTTTGAACAACCACAGATAATGACACATGAACAACAATACATGCAGGTTGCAATAGCAAACGTTGCAATATTTACGTTTCTCTTTGTTTTTGGAACAACAAAAGATGGTGATCGCCCATAATGAAACAACCTTCTTGTCGACACATTTTCCTTCGTTTGACACAGCCACCGCTATTAATTAACACGTGACGAAAGAACAGAATTGCTACCGCTCATGACGAAGTTTCCTTAATTTGCCAACTTTTACGATAAACATGGTTAAATTAAGGATACCGATATAAAGCGATGTGTACAAACTGGTTGAAGTCTGTTCGTTCGTTTATTTGTTTGTTTGTCCGTCTGTTAATTTTGGGATATATGCATATTTTATTTTAAGCAACCGTCGCTGTTGTGATATATGCATTATGATTGATTAGTTAAAAGAACTTGAGAATATATTCCCTAATACATTGAAGACTTTATTATTGAAGAAATGTTATTATTCATATATCATATGTTTTGTGCCATATTGTTAATTCTATTGTTTATAAATATTATTTCTGTCGATATTGTAAATCTTTTGTTATAAAGGATATTAAATGTAATAATACTTGCTTATGTTATTTATAATGTCCATAAATGTACGAAAAATACATATAATATACAAATGATTGTATTTTAATGCTCTGCAAACTAGTAGCAATGTAATTATTATTGTCATTATATAAAATAATTTGCTTTGATAAAAACGAGACATTAACATGTATACATTTATTACTAAATATAAACAACGATGTCAAGATTGGTCTTTCATTTGTTTACCTGAATGAAGAATTTAACTTTCATTTATCTTATGATCATTCAAATGCCAGCATAGTTTTATCCTGAAGGTAGAGAAACCTATTATAAAGAATAATATCAGAGCAATAGTTTTTTTATCCACTGTAACACAAACTCGTATTAGAAAAATAGAAATATGGGGAGAATAAATAAACATTACGCGGACGTGGTCTGCAAACCAGATGGAGCTCTATGAAAGGTATAAAACTATATACCATACAAAAATTCTCGAGACGTCAGTCTTGATTCAAATTCTACGTTAAGTTCTTGACAAGATGATTTTTATTTGTGTGAAATCAATTGACCCATGAGCAGATGGCAGTTTTAACTATAAACTATGTGTAAGACAACTTAGACATTGTTATATTACTTGCAGTATCAAAGATGAAATGAAAAGTTTTAAAGATTATACTGAGAATCCGTCAATGGTAAAATAGTGGTGTTTTTGGTCTTTAGATGACAT